GGGGGGGGGGGTGAAGGGTCACTGTGCACTCTCCCTGCCCCACGCGGGTTGGCCCCTTCCACCAGCCAGGGACTCGGCTCTGAATCCAGCCTCTGTTACTCATGCCTAAGTGTCTCTGTGGTCTCTGCCCTCAGGGGCTTTTCAAACCTTCTGTCTCTGAGTCCACAGTGCTTTGTATAGTGCTGGCACATAGTAGGTGCTTTCTAAGGTTCTGTGAGAGGATGGTAGGTATCTTCCTTTCTGGAACTCCTCACTTATCCCTGAGCCCCCCCAGAGCACCAGCCTCTCAGGGCTGAGGAGCCCTGAGTCAAGTGTGACTCACCTCAGGATGCCATCCTCACCAGCCCTCTGCTGTTCCACCCCCCATCAGGGTCACAGACTGGAGTAGAACAGGGCAGGCAGGTAATATCCCTGGGATGAGGGACCAGAAGGGGACCAAGGGGACATGGGGTGTGCATGCCATGTCCAGAGGGGACTGCGAGGACTCAGCCCAGCTAATCGGGGTCCTCTCATGGCCATTGGGAGGCCATTCCCTGGCAGGTCTCAGGATGTGTGGGTCTGAATTTCGGTGTGTTGTGTCCTCTGACAGCTCTTTAATTTTTGAAAGTACAGTGTACAAGCTGAAGGTGATAGGATCTAAGTCAGAGACAGGCCAGGATGTCTGAGTTTGCTTCCTGCCCTTCCAGCCTGTCTTGACTCCCCCATTGAGCACCTTCTGCCCCTCATTGTGGGACGTCCTGCCCTGACTATACCCCAGTCCTGGGAGGCCTGGGCACTGGTCTCAGCCCGTGGGGTCTTTAGGGATGCGCCAAGGTCAGGGATGAAAGAGGCATGCCGTCTCATCCGTGATGACCCCCTGCAGGTCTGCCTCTTTGGGAACGCGGAGGTCTCCCTACGGGATCACCTGCGGGCGGGGGCTTCTGAGGAGGAGCTGCTGAGCATCATCGGGGCTGCTGTGGGCAGAAAGAAGCGGCAGCATGCAGGTGAGGGGCGGGTGGGGAAGGCCAGCCTGGGGGGGTGAGTGGGTCACCGTCAGCAGGAGGGAGGCCAGAGTTTGGGGTAAGAGAACAAAGGCCAGCCTGGCAGGGAGCCAGGGGGCCTCATTGTTGGACCCTTAGACTTGGGGTGTGGTGATGGTTCTTGGGAAGTTGGCACAGCAGAGACTGCATGGGAGAGGGGCCCCGAATTCCTTGGGCTATTTTATTGGGTGGGGGAAGGGGGGTGTCATTGCCCCTCTCTTCCCACACATGGCCTTCTGCCAGGAGGGCAGGTCCTGGCGTCCTCGGACTTCTGGGCTCGGTCATGGTCATGGGTGGCCCTGCAGGACACAGTGGGGGCTTTGTCAGGTGCTTGTAGGTGAGTGCATGGACACGGGCTGTCACCCCACCATGTCCATGTCCGTGTCACTGAACTCTCCTCCTCCCCCTTTCTCTCCCTCCCCTGCTCTCCTGTCCCTCCCCATCCTTCCCGTACCCCAGGCATGTTCAATATCTCCCAGATGAAGAACCGGCCCATGATCCTCATCGGTGGGTGACCCTGCAGTACGTAACCACTCACCCTTGTCATTGGGGTTCCCATGGGTGGGGCCCCTGCCATGAGGCACCCCTAGGTCCTGCACCTTATCTTGATGTCCTCCACCCTGGTCTTCTTCTGTTCCTCCTTTATGCTTTCAAACCCCTTCAGGCCTTTACTGCTTCTGCTCTTGCCCGTGCATGGCTCCCCCTCACCAAACACGCCATAGAAATAATCACTGTCTCACCAGAAAGGGGTGTCCTCCGTATTTAATGACCACTGAGTTGTCCCCTGAATACAGAGCTCCTGGTTAAGACAGGCCTCATCCTAGGCTCTAGAATGCCCTGGCCTGGGTGCAGTGGCAGGTGTCCCTTCCCCTGTCGGGTGGGCCCGCTCGCGCATGGGTGCACCTGGACCATTAGCACCCACTGGGCAATGTGTTGTTGCTTCTGTGCCGGGCAGAACTTGAGCAGGAAGCTGAGGATGCTACTCATCTGTCAGGGAGGGCACAGCCAGATCGCAGCTCCTAGTTCCCTAGCTCCCATGAAAGTGTGTGATGGGGACATCTCTCATTGCGTAGGACGCCTGAAACAAAAACACCTTTTTATAGAGCTGTACGTGGCTCCCGCCTGGAGAACAGGCCAACCACGAGGAGCCTCAGGGTGCTGTTACCCCTCTGGCACGATGCCCAGACTAGAGCAGGGCAGCCTCACCCCCTTGGCCACAGCCAGATCATGGCCCCTGAATTGTACCACTGGGCAAGAGAAAGCAGTGAGGAAAAACTAGGGGAGGGACACTCTGCTGCAGAGGTTGGAGCAGAGTGAGCCCATGACTGGGAGGGGAGTAGTTGCTGTGAGGCAGAGAGAGCCCGGGGACCACCCTTCTACCTCAGCCGTCCAAGAAGGAAAGGCCATTCCACAATGGGCTCCACTGGGAAGACAACCCGATCATCTCGCCTCCCCACCTCCAGTATGATAGCCCTCTTGTTTGGCGTCGAGCCATGCCGACACACCTCGATGCCCAGGAGTTGGGGGTACCTTGATGCCCCCTTAAAAGAAAGCTTGTGACTCTGACATGGACGAGTAGGGGGCCAGGGCATGATAGAAAGCTGGAAATGGGAGACCTGTTTGCTCCATGAGGTAGATGATCACTCTCCAGGACACAGAGTAACTAAACTACTCTGGTTTCTGAAAACCAAGAGTTGCCTAGAGGAGGGCCCCTAAGGCTTTCATTGCATCCGAATCAGTGGGGTCTTGTTAGGTCAGATGCGGATTCAGGAGGTCTGGGTGGGGTTCTGTGTCTCCAGCAGTTCTTAGTCTCCAGCTACCGCTGCTGGTCTGTGGACCACCCTTTGAGTGATAAGGTTCCCAAGGCCCTAGGGACCGCTGGGATCAGCCTGTCGTTTTGTGTGCGAGTCTGATGTGCTTGAGGAGGCTTAAAAGACATTAAGTAGATTAAACCTTTCCATTAGTAGCTGGTCTGCAAACGACATGATTACTGTTAACTTCATAGAGTAGGTAAAGATGAGAGTGCCCATAATTGGTAATTCAGGCTGAGACCTCGCTGCAGTTTTCTTCTGAGAAAATGGAGCGACATGGAGAGGTCATCTGATCCAGGCTTCATCTTCAGACCTTAGGTGTTTTTTAAGAGAAAACTTTGGCCACAAAGTTTGTGAGGAGGGAGCCCAGGATACCCCCCCCACCTCTGCAGGACAGGCCGAAATGGAGGGCTGTTTGTCCAGTGTAACACTGGGTAAGGGCTGTACACGTGTATTCCAGGGGCCCTCCATCTGTGCATCTTCTGTTTTATCTCTTCCCCTCTGCTTTTTGTTCATTCCTCCGTCCCCAGTGTGGGCAAGAGCACTCGAAGTGGGGTCAGGAAAGGGTTAAGAGAAGAGGTGGGGAAACGAATGACCTTCTGGACTCAGTCTTTCTCCTCTCTCTTCCTTGCCTTCCAGAATCATTTCTGATGCTCCGAGATTCCCCACCAGCCATTCCAAGCATTTCCTCTTGGGAGCCACTCGGCATTCAGGGTCTGAGACACAGAGTGAGTTTCTCCAGCCAGGTGGCAACTTTGTGGAAAAGATGCCGGGTCCCCTGGACCCCTCCCCTCGCCCAGCAGTGGTTGGGATCTGACTCCCCTCAGAGACACTACAGTTCCCACCCAGACTCAGACACCAACCCAAAGTGCCTTAGCCCCGTGTCCCCGGCTCCTGCCACCCACTCAGGATCGCTGCCAACCTCGGACCAACTAAGCCACGTGGACACAGAGGGACGGGCAGCTATGGTGGATGTGGGCAGTAAGCCAGACACAGAGCGGGTGGCTGTGGCCTCCGCCACGGTTCTCCTGGGGCCTGTGGCCTTCGGACTCATCCAAGAGAACAGGCTAAAGAAGGGAGATGCCCTGGTGGTGGCCCAGCTGGCTGGAGTCCAGGCGGCCAAGCTGACCAGCCACCTGATTCCTCTGTGCCACCATGTGGCCCTGAGCCATGTCCAGGTGCAGCTGCAGCTGGACAGCACACGCCATGCCGTGGTGATCCAGGCGTCTTGCCGGGCTCGAGGCCCCACTGGGGTGGAGATGGAGGCCCTGACCTCTGCCGCGGTGGCTGCCCTCACCCTGTACGACATGTGCAAGGCGGTCAGCAGGGACATTGTGTTGGGGGACATCAAGCTCATCAGCAAGACGGGGGGCCAGCGGGGGGACTTCCATCGGACTTAGAGCTCCTGCCCCCTCTCACCCACGACCCAGCCAGGTCAAGAGACGGGATGCGATTTGGGCCGAAGGAAAGATGTCTAGTTCCTTAACCCCGACACTGTCTACCTTCGGCAGTAGGAACCCAGGTCAGCCCATCCCTTACTGCTAATGATCTATGACAGCCTGCGAGGCCTCCTTTATTCAGAGAGAAACCAGCAGGCCCTTAGCCTTCCTGGACAGTAGGTCACAGGAGGGGGTCACACGAGCAATGCTAAGTAAGGGAAAAATCAACTATGTCACCTGCAGGCTATTTCAGATGACCGGTTTCAGAGTCCAGCTTCCACTTCTCACTTTGGGTTTTCTCTGCTGCTTCCCTGGGGAGAGGATAAGGGCTCACAAAGCAGAGGAACCCACTTTGGGGGAAAGCACAGCTTGCACTAAGAACACTAAGAATGTACAAGGACTTTTCTGCAGCTCCGCCCGCCTGAGTCTTGGAGCTGCAGCCCTGCCCTGCCCCTGCCTTTCCGCCCTCCACCCTCAGAGAGAGCCTGGCCCCTTCAGACTTGCAGGCATTCGGTTTAACAACTTCACCATCCTGCCTGCTCCCTGGCCTCCCCCTCCTCGAACAGGCGCACACGTGGGCTGCACCCCCCGAGGACTCCTGACCAGCCACTCATGCCGCACTGGCCCTGTGCACTGCTGTCCCACCCACCCCCCACCCCTTTATTCTGGAATATATCAGGGAAAAGAGAGTTGAAGATTGCCTTCACCCCTACAGCACACAAAATAAAGCCTCGATGCCAACTTTGGAGACACAGGAATGAGGACTGTGTCTGTGCACAAGGCACTAGCTGCTAAGATTTCATGCCCACCCCTCAACCCCAGCCCACAGCCACTCCCCCGGGGGCAGAGGAGCAGGAGGGACATGTCTTTCCTGTGTCCCCATAAGACAGTCAGGTGGGGGGTCCGTAGATCAGGGGGTGCAATTAGAAGTTACTGGGTTTCACACCCCCAAGCCCTGGACTTGCTGGCTGGGCTCGCTAATGTGGTTGGGCTTCCTTCGGTCTATCCTCAGGGGTACTCTGCCTGCCTCCCTCTGCCCTGCACTCAGGTGTGCTGGTGAATGTTGAACAACCAGCTCTCAGGAAGAGAGAAAGCCAAGTTCTCGGGAGCCGGTTTCACACTACAGTAGCAGGTGAACTGGTGTCAAGATTCCTGAAAGTGACAGTTGTGCTCTCATTGCTGGTAGGACCTGGCCCCCAGCATACCTCAAGGCCCTAACAGGAAGAAAGCACACGTTTCAAGACAGGCAGTGGGGATGGTATGGATTTAATATTTTTTAGTATTACAATATATTCTTATAAAAAAGGTGCGGGTAGAAAGGACACTGCCGATTTCGTACATTAGCCTCGTTTGTCCTCTGAGACAGCTGGTGAGAGCAGCCTTGGCAGGACAGTGTCCTTGGTAGAGGTCGGGGAGATGGCCACGGCTCCCAGTTGGTGGAAATAGGTCGGGGTCGGGGAAAGCCTAGACTAGCCCCTTCCTAGCCCCCTGGAGAATGTGTTCCTCCCACTGCCCTAGACACACCTTATTTCCATCACGGGATGGCATGGGTGCTGTTGCTAAGAAAGGGGACAGGTTGCATTAGGTTATTGGATTTGACATGGGACACAAAATTAGCGGGAGAAATTCACCCGAAGGTGGCAGGAAGGGCACTGGAAAAGACCAGGGAACAAACAGGCGTAAACATGTAGTGTATCAAGAACCAGCACAGCCATCTCCACGGGCACTAGCCCCTTCCTGCCAAGTCAGCCACGATGGTCCGTGGTCCAAGGCACTGTTAGAGATCTGGCTCCAGTGGTGTCTGCAAAGCCACTGGCCAGATCTTGAAAATAATAAATAGAAAAGGAAAAATCTTTGGGGGTGAGAAGCCAGAGCCCTGGAACAAAGTATGTGTCCTCTGTAAACAGTGAAGCCAAACTGCTTTTCTGCGGATCCCACGTGTCTAGATCAGCTTCCGTATCCCTTGTCTTCCATGTGCACGTCCAGTCTCCATGCGGATGGGCGCGCCAGGATTTGGACATGCCTGCCCCATAGCAGTGGAGCCCTCCCCTGTTCCCTTCCCCTGTGGGTTAGGCTGACCCCAGCTGGTTGGGGGGAGGAGTTCAGAGACCCCACCCACAACCCTCTCATCATCCCAACACCAGCATCCTGCGGTGGGGGTGAATGGGTAAAACAGCTCTCTGCAGCGCCTCTTCCTGGAAGCCTTCAGCTTGCCCTCACCTGGGCTCCAGGATGGCCCCCTCACACATGTCCTGGCCAGATTTGCGTTTGCTCAGATCCCTCGCCCTCGAACCAACACACATGCTGGGCTCACCAACCTTGGTTCTTCCTGGAAGCTACTCTGGTCTCACCCCCAGGAATTTGATGCAGGGAGAAGACAGGCAGCTGAAGAGTGGGCCCAGCCCACCGGTGTGTCCACTGGCAATAACCCTGAGCCGGAGGAGTAGGTTGGAAGGTCAGAAACACGGAGGGAGGGGCAGGGGGACAGAAGGGTGAGGAGCCCCCGGATGGGGTTCAGGCTGGCAGGTGCGGAAGACAAGGTCAAGTCTAGGGGGAGAAAGTGCCCTGAAAACGAGAGCTTTGGTGGGACTGACCTCAACTCCCTTCTTAGAGGACAGGACATTTTGCTTAGATACACCCATCAACCCACCTGCTCAAGATGGACAGACTGGAAGGTGGGAGTGAGCAGGACCAGAATGAGCGCCTTGGCAGTCAGGTACCAATGAAGGGGTGTGACCCCCCACAGCGTTCCCCCTTGGCTCTTTCAGGCAGTGCACTCCCCGGGGAAGTCTGCCTTCCCCCTCCCCCCCATCTCCCAGCTTCCCTGCCTGCTCCAGCCCAGGTCTGAACGCCTCAGAGGAGAAGGCACCTCAGAGATGGCATCTAAATGCAGAGGGCAGCCCTGGCCCTTGGGACCCTCTCAGGGAAGGACAACCCAGGGCCAGCCTCAGCCAGACCAGACACATGGTTTGAGGTGGCCTCCTGCATACTGGACATGGGGGAGGTCACTGGGTCTGAGTAACATGAAGTGGTGGACTAGAAAGCTCAGGCCTGGGCTAGGCATTCAAGTGCTGCCCTCTGGTGAGGGGTGTCAGGAACTCCTGGCCAACATGGGAGGTCACTTGTCTCAGCTCAAGACCATGGGCCAACAGAGGTGGGGGGAGAGTTTTGTTCCAGGGACCCTCTGCCCAAGGCACGAGGTATACTGGTGAGCGGGGTCTTGGTTGCAACCCTTCCCTTATCAGATGCATCAAGTGCCTGATAGCGAGCCATAGCCAGGGAGCCCAAAGGTACTTTCTCTGGGATTTGGGGTTAGTAGATAGGATGGAGGTGGCAGTGGGGAAGAAGGGGGAGACTTAAGACATGCAAGAGAGGCTTAAACGAGTTGTGGTGCAAGAAACACTGCTATTCTGTCCTGATGACTTGGACCCTGGGCCACCCTTCCGGCTTCGTTTCCCCCGGAACACATCTGGCTAGAACACAGAACGCTTCTTGCCTTCCCATCAAGAGGCGAGTGGGCTCCCAGGTCAGTGTTCCACTAAGCCACCTCTTGAGGGATGGGAGCCTGGTCTCTCTCACCCTGTCTCTCAGGGCGCCACCCCACAGACACTCCCCGCTGCACATGACATCTGGACCCAACCCAAGGACCTGTCCAGTCTGGATCTAGAAGTCTAGATCTGTGCCAGCATGTGGGTGCCATGCTGGAGGTGGGGAGCAGGGGCCCTTCAGCCGGGCCTGCCAGGGATGTCCAAGTGAGCCTCAGAGAGTGGCCCCTGGGGGCGGGGAGGCAGGAAGAGCGATGGGAAGAGGGGAGGAGGGGAGCCCCTTCAGGTAGGTGTGGGAGACGCCCGGCCCTGCCTCACAGCCCCACCCCGGGACCCAGCCCCGGGCTCTGCACTGAGCACCGTGTGATTTAAGCATCCCGCCGCCTCCACTCAGCCCCTCCAGTCCGTCCCTGGCTCCTGGCCTGCTGCGGCCAGTCCCCCAGTCAATAATTTAGCCTGTTTATCGCCCTCTCCCGGGTGACCTCCGGGGCCTGGCTCCCCGACCGCTTGCGGCTGCGCTTGAGCTTGCACAAGTCCTTGTCAAAAACCTCCCCAGAGCGCAGGGCTGACACCAGGTCGTCAAACTCGCCTCCCTCCTCCAGGGCGCCGCCCGCGTGAACCTTCCGCTGCCGCTGCCACCGCTCCCGCTCCCGCTGCTCCTTCAGCTGCAGGGGCGAGGAGGGATGGGTGAGGCCAGGGCGCCCCCTTAGTCTGACTTTCAACCCCCGAAGGGCTACCTCCCAGGCTGTGCGCCTCGATGCCGGTGTGCGCCAGCCGGCCCCTCTCCCCGGGTGCCCGGTGCTGCCCACCGCACGCGCTCTCCCCTCAGGCCGGGAAGACCACCCTCGCCCCTTGGGGGCTGCCATCAGCCCCTAGTGCTCCTCAGGCCCTGTCCTCCTCGCACACCCCCTGACCTGGCCCCTCGGTGGCACCCCTTGGGCCTGCCCTCCGCTCACCATGGCTTCCATGCGCGCCCGCCGCTCCTCCTCCTCCTTCCGCCGCCTCATGGCCTCCAGGTCCTGCCTGGCCTCTGAGAAGGCCTGCAGGAAGGTGTCGAAGATGCCAAAGAATTCGTCCGGCTGCATCTTGCTGTCCTGCTCCCCAAAGTGCACCAGGGCCTGGGAGAACTGGAGGGGGGAGAAGGGGTTGGAGAGTCGCCCAGAGCACCACGGGCCCTGGCCACGTGGTTAGCTGGGTGCCTGCCGGAGCCAAGCCCAGTCAGGCTGGGGGATGGCATGGAGAAGGGGAGACCCCATTATCATCTGGGTGAGGACAAGGCTGAGGGAAGGAGTGGGACAGACACCCTGGGGACGTGGGGGGTCCAGCTGGCTGATGAGGCTGCCAGGGCCCCTTCTGGGCCTGTGACGCTGCGAGTATGGGATCAGGAGCTACAGACCTTGGAAGGAACGGCCTGGTCAGAAATCAAGAGAACCTCAGAGGTCCTGGGCTGGTTATTTAACCCTCTGTGCCTCAGTTTTCTCATCTGTACAATGAGGATGATACTAGAACCTACTGCAGCGTTGTGGGGTTAACAAGATCAGAGCTGTAAAGTTCTAGCTATACTTATGTGTGCCGGGCATGTTCTTCAGTGAGAGCTACCGCCTCTAACCCACTGTCCTCTAAGGAAGACCCCACTACTACAGGTGGCTCCCGACCAGCGTGGGCAGCTCCTGGGAGCAGTTAGCAATGCTGAGCCCCGGGCGGCATTCCCGACCTCCCGAAGGAGGGGTGCCTTTTACTATGACTCCCACAGATGGGGCCCAGGGGCGCGTTAGTGTGAGAAGCAGGCCCACAGCAACTGGGACGGAAGCTGGGCCCGTCGGGATTCTAACCCAGCTCTGCCCAGCAAGGCTGGGCAGCCGGGGGCAAGCCGCCAGCCCCTCTGGATCTCAGTGCCGTGTCTGTTGAAAGGGTTAATGACCTTTCAACACGCCCACAAAGTCGGCAATGAGACTGATGACGCCGGCGCCTGATGAGTGGACTGGGACCTCTGCCTCACTCCTGCCTTCCTGTAGGAGGGAGTACACGGTCATTCCTCAGCTCTGTGGCTCTGGGTGGTCCCTCTGGGCCACCTGGCAGGAATGGTGAAGGAGTGTGGGAGGCGTGGGGGCGGGGTTCGGCTGAGGGTGAGATGCGGCCTGGGGCACCCTCACCTTGTCCCTGGCCTCGTTAAGCTGGTCCTCCAGCTCTGAGAAGCTAAAGCTGGAAACCGTGATGAAGTCACTCATGACTGGGACAAACTTGTCACTTGGCTCCCGCGCCTGGCGTTTCTGATATTCCAGCTCCTGAGGGGGAGAGTGAGGCGCTGGTTAGACTGGTGCTGGGGTCAGGGTCAGAATTCCGGGGCCACCGCATCACCCGCCCTTCCTGTCAGTCACAGGACACTAGCCTCCTTTGGAGGAGGGAACGCCTGGTGTCAGTTTTAAGGTTGGCAGAGACTGTGAGAGTTATCACCCAGTCTACCCTGCCATCTCCCTCTCTAGATCCTTGCTACTCAAAGTGTAGCCTGCCACCAGCCGCGTCAGCATCACCTGGGAAATTTGGAGAAATACAGACTCCCAGGCCCCACCCAGACCTGTGGGATCAGAGTCTGCATTTTAGCAGGACCCTCGGGTGACCCGTGTGCACACTCAGGATTTCTCTCTCTTAGCTGATGCTGCTGGTCCAGGGACCACGCCTTGGGCAGCGCTTTATAAACTGCCATTGCCCTCTGCACCCCCCCAATCATAGTGACAATGAAAGGTTCTTTCTCATATTTAACTTCGTGCTCTAAGCTCACTCTCCTTACCTGCCTGACACCCCCACTCAGTGAAGACGGGTATGAGGGGGACAGGGTTGGGGACATCCCCATACCGAGCCAGCCTAGCCTAGGGCCAGAGACAGTATCGTCTGAGAAGCCATCGGACTAGGACTGGTGGTGACCAGAGACCTGGGTCTCCAGCAGAGTGCAGCCCCGGCTCCTCTACTGGCCCAGGGCGGAGGGAAGGCATAGGGCAGAGGCTCTGGAAACAGTGGTCCCCAGTGACACACTGTGTGCTACCTGCCCCTAGCCGGCTCCCAGAGGATGTGGGCCCCCTCCCCATCTACTGCAACTAAAGTTAAGCATGTGTCTGATTTACCGTTCATTCCACTCCACTGACCAACAGATACGGTGGACAGTGACCTGGTTAGTCTCAGTGTCCCTCTTTGTGACACTAAATTTAAGCCCCAGATAATCCAATCATCCTTCCCTGAGGGCTGGCTCTGTGCTAGAGGCTGTGCCATTACTCTATCACCCCAGCCAGGAGCTTTGGGCCGGACATGCATGGGACAGGGTCTGCTGCCTGGGGCCCACCACCTGACCCAGTGCCTGTCAGCAGCCCCTCAAACCCAGGCAGGTGGAGGTGATGTACTTACCACCTCGACTGCTCTGAGGCCCTTCCTGAGGTTGCCCACCTCTTTCTCCAGCTCCGCCAGGCTGTGGGGGGACACGAAGGGAGGGACAGGAGGTGAGGGTCGTCCAGGAGAGGACAGTGCAAAGCCCAGTGGACTGGGGGTCAGTGGACTTGTGCCCCAGCCCTGCATTGGCCACTAACACGTGGCCCATCACCGCCCCTCCATGCTCTGTCTGTGTGTCTATAAAATAGCCGAGGTGAAACTTAGGCTCTACAGATCCTTTAAGATTAGAAATGTCAGGCTGCATATTAGGTTCCTAACACACGGCCTCTGGCTTGGATTTGTTTCTTACCACCAGGCAATTCTTACAAGCACTTAACTTACAAGTACTATACTTGCCCGTAGTAGCATGGATGCATGTTAGCCAGGTGCCACTGCATTTCTGCTCCTACTGAAGAGGCTTCTCTCAGTCCCTGTGTGTTCAGGTCTGACTTCTTGCCTGGAGCAGATACTGCTGGTGCCCCACCCACATCTCCTTGGGCCACCCACTGTGGTGCACAGACCTGACTTCCAACTGTGAGCACTTTTTCTGGGAGCCAGAGAGTAATGCCTCACCCCCCCACCCCCCGAGCCCCACAGCCAGTGACTGACAGGAGATGGTGTATGATGCCCCAGCTCCCTTGCCCCTTGGGTAAGATAAGTAGAGTGAGTGTCCTGCACTGTCTCCCACACCTCCCTGGAGGCGCCAAGCTCCAGTTGCCCCAGGGGAGCTGGCAGAATTACGCTTCCTTCACTGGCATTCGTCCCATCCCTGGCTCACTTCCCCACCCCCACTCTGTTTCCTGGGAGCATCTCTGAAATAAGGATTGGAGAGCAGAGTCTCTCTCCGTGTGGCAGGCCCTGAGACACTGCCCATCCCTAGTAGCCCCAAGGAGGACATTTAGACAAGAACGTGTGTGAACACAGCGAGCAGGCGGCCTCAGGGGGATCCCTCACTTGACTTTGGCGGCTTCTGGAAGATGCTGCAGCTCCGAGGGCATGTTCAGGATGTCGGGGAAGTGCTTCTCCAGGATCATGATTAGGTAATGGAGCAGGGAGATGTTCCTGCGGATGAAAGGGCACGGGGAAAGGGGTGAGGGTCAGCAGGGACCTAGGCTGAGGTGTTAGAGGAAAGGGCCATGGGTTGGGTTGGGTTGGAAATGGAGGGAGGTAGAAGGGAGGAGGGGAGAGGCCACGTGGGGTGTGACGGAGGCTAAGGAAGCAGGCAGGTCCCACCTGTCAATGCTGGACTTGGTGTCGGCAATCTTGTTGAGGCTGGCCACCCGGAACCCGTAGGCGCCCCCACGCTGCCCTTTGTTCATGAAGTTACCGATGGCCAGGACGATCTCCAGCATCTGTTTCAGACGCCGGCTGCGGATCAGCTCCCGGGAGGCCAGGAGGATGGCTGGGAGAGGAGGACAGGTCAGATCCCTACACAGGCTGGGCCCGGGCAGCTAGCCCCTTGGACCCCAGGACGGTGCCACCACAGAGTCCAGAAAGGGGCTGCAAGTGTCTTCAACTCTCAGAGGGGCAGTGACTATGCCCACGCCTCCGCAGACCAATCTACTCCACACCCGCCCATCTCCAGGGTAGAGACAAGCTTGCCAAAGGCCAATTTGCCACATAACGTACTCTCAGAATGTGCCAACTCTTCCCAAGACTATACTCGAGAATATCTTTTCTTGTGTGTATTTAAAGATTATTAATATATTCTTTCTCTGAATATACATGGGTGGCTGCTCAACCACTGAGCATCACCGGCCAGGCTTGAATATCATTTTTTAAAATGTTGCAACCTTGCCCAGATGGCATGGCTCAGCGGTTGAGCATCGACCCATGAACCAGGACATCAAGGGTCCATTCCTGGTCAGGGCACATGCTTGGGCTGCAGGCTCAATCCCCAGCAGGGGCGTGCAGGAGGCAGCCGATCCATGACTCTCATCATTGATGTTTCTCTCTCTCTCCCTCTCCCTTCCTCTCTCTCTGAAATTAAATAAACAAATATTGCAACCTTTAGGTATTTTAGCTATTTTCTCCCCATGTCTTAAGTAATTCATTTGCTAGAAATACAAATTAAGCTAACAGTGACAAAAACTTCAGTACTGAAGTCTGACTGGATGCTCTGGCCCTTCCTCAGCTGTCAGGTATTGATGGCAGCTGTGCGGAGCTGGGAGGCGAGTCCCACACCGACATGCCGGCTACCAGTTGTGCAACGTGCCTTTTGATTATTAAATGTGGTGATAAGACCAGACTATCCTATGATCTTTGGCTTACGCCAACTGAGCATGCCTTAAGATGCTGCTATGAAGATAAAATGAGAACCATCTGCTAAATGTGTGCAGAAATCTTCAAGACAGTTACAAATAAGTAATTGTAAAACAAAAACAAAAAAAAGAGAGGGAGAGAGAAGAAGCTGTAGAAGCGAGTAATGAATGGAAGGCTTGTCAGGAGCTTCTAAAGTTGGCCATGGGCATATTCTATGACCGTTACACTTGCTGGGCATTTGAGAGGTTTCTCAGTTTTTTCCCCCTTAAATTACAAACAGACTGGTTCAATAAACGATGGTATATTGATAAATGGAATAAAACGCAGCACTGAGAATGAATAATCCACTGCTACGTGTAACAACAGCGTGATGCACAGCCAGAATGCTCAGCAAAGGAGGTGATCGAGACAGATGGAACCTCTGCGGGGGGAGCAGCAGTCGGAGGGGGTAATATCGGGGGGGCATGAAAAAGGGGCTAGCACCCTCCCGTCTCTCGACCCTGTGTCGAATGCACAGGTGAGCTCACTTCGCCGTAATTTATCAAAGAGGGCTCGTGGTTTATGTACGTTTCCACGTGAGAGTTTCAATAAAAAGTTTCCTTTAAAATAAAGCCACTTATAAAAGTTTCCAGCAATGTTCGTTGGCTGGGATAGTTTTTCTTTGGTTGATGTGCTATTTGAAACATTTGCGAAGGAATCCTCCTGTCGGGGAATCCGGGAGAGCGGGGAAGCCCGTACGCGGGCGGACGTTTCCGATACGTTCCTAAGAGTAACAGGCTCGCGAGCGTGTTCACAGGGCGCGCTCGCAGCTGAAACCATCCCCGTCCTGCCTCTTCAGGGGAGGCATGCAGAAGATCCGGTAAGTGTGGGCGTTCAGATGAGTGCAGTCTTCATAGAGTCAAGAAAAGGTTGTGAAAATATTCATACAGGAATCGGTACATTTGTCAAATGTGGTGAATTGACTTTTGGCAAATTGACCCAGAGGACCTTCTGGGGGACGGGGCGTGAGGGGGTGTCGATAGCTCGTCACCAGCTGGGACAGGCCACAGATCAGCTCGCCCCGGAGCATTTCCTCGAGAACTGAACTCCTGCACCATCCTTGCCTCCACCCTCATCACGCCTGCTGACCTGATTCTGAGCTACAACTTCAGCCTCCTCTGCCCAACTCTGGGACAGGGGAGACCTGGGGACCCTTCTAGAACAGCAGCCATGCTCCAGCAGAGCCATGACGACCTCCCCTGGCAGGCTGCCACTCAAAACGCGTCTTGCTCTGCTTAGCCTGATGCTGAAGGCAGGCTCCGCTCGCAGCAGGCAGTGGCTGACCCTCGGAGGGGTCGCGAGTGGCCCACAGAACAGGAAACCATCTGAGGGCACAGCCACCCGGTGGCTAAGCTACTCTAGTTCCACAGCTCCGAGTGGCTGTTGCTCACATTTGCTCCCCTGAACCACGATACGCAAGTAGTTGAGCACATGCCTTGGGCTGAACCCCTTCCCTGTGCCTCAGGCCCCAAGGGCGGTCAGCGGCAGGACAGAGAGAGCCGGGTGAAGGGAAGGATTCCCCCTTCGCCGGGGCAGGAGGTGCCACCAGACCTCAGACCTGAGAGTCTCCGCTGACCTCTTTCCCTGTCCCTCACATCACAGATCCTTCTTCCTCTACAATCACAGGCAGCCTGCAGTTCCCGTGTGTGTGTGTGTATGAGTCAGGATGCAGGTCACAGAAGATGTCTGTCCTAGCTCTGTCATGCAGTTCAGAGAACTCTAGAAAGGGCCCTTTTTTGGATGGGCCATCCCAAGACCTGCCAGCTGGCCCCGGTGTCCAGCAGAGGGGGCCCATGCTCTGCCCCCAGCCTGTCCCCCTCCACATCCTGGACTCAGGCTCCCTTGTTCTACTCCGCTGACCCTGTCCTCACCGCCTCGCCTGCATTCCCCTCCTGTCTGCATGGCGACCTGCCATAATGACCACCTGCTCTCCCCCACTCCCTGCCCCCGTCCTCTGCCCTCCTCTGGGGAGGACACCAGGATGACAGCGAAGGGACGGACTTTGAAGAACAACATTGTGTTCTAATTTTGACTCCACCTTGCACCAGTCACATGGCGTCAGGCAACACATCCCCATCTTAGGGGTGAGCGAACAGGTGCACCCACAGGTCTGTTGTGAGGACCAAGGGACTGCGCCCATATGGAGTATTTCACACAGTGCGTGGCACGTGGTTCTCATTTAATAACGTGCTCATCTGAAAAAGGCCTGTCTGTGTAGGATGGGGTTCTCCCACCCAGAAAATCAGGTGCCTCCAGAGATTACCTTGCCAATGTCCTACTTTCTGAGTAGCTCACTCTTAAAACAATGTGCCCAGTGGCCTTCTATGAGCTGAGAACCTCTCCAGCAGGATAAAGGTTGATGAGATCAAACCATGCCAGGAGCTGTCCTAGGTGCTTGCTATCAGGGTTCCCCGTTATCTGCAGGGGATACTCTCCAAAACCCCCAGCGGATGCCTGAAACCAAGAAGAGCACCGAGCCCTGTGCATACTGATTCTTCCTATACATACACACCTACGAAAAAGTTTAATTTATAAATTAGGCACAGTAAGAGAGCAACAATAACTAGTGATGAATTAGGACAGTTACAGCAATATACTGCAATGAAAGTTATGTGAACATGGTGTCTCTCCTCTCTCTCGTAACTGATCCGATAACGGAGAGGTTATTACGTGACTGATGAGGGGGAGCATTGCAGCATGGACATGCAGGACAAAGGGATGGGTCACGTCCCAGGTGCGATGGGCCAGGATGGCCCGAGACTTCCTCACGTTACTCAGAAAGGCACACGATTTAAAACTTATAAATTGTCTATTTCTGCAAACTTCCAGTTCATACTTTTGGACCATGGCTGACCGCGGGTAACTGAAGTCATGGAAAGCGAAACCTCGAAAAAGGGGGCACTACTGTGTCACTGTTTTTCCAGCATCTCTGCCCCAGGCTAGGGCAGATGTCATAGATCCTCTGCCCCAGAGTCTGCACGCTGAGGCACAGGAAGTGTGTCCACGCTTGGCACATGTGCTAACAAACAAGTGCATATATCTACAAGCTCACAGCTTTAAATTTTGTCCTTGATTCTGGTTTTGCGGGGGGACGGGGGGTGGACTCCCTCCCCAGCCTCCTCCACTCCCGCAGTCCTACCTTCCACTTTGGGCTTGGCCTCGGCCAGCCGCTCCTGGAATTTCTTCTTGAAGAAGAGGGCCTGCAGCCGCTGCTGGTAGTGGTCAATCCTGCGGACAAGGCGAGCTGTGTCACTGTCAGGAGGAGGCCCCTCCAGCCCCTCCCGGGAGCCAGCTCCGGCCCCTCCTCAGCCCGCCCCCCCAACCCCGCTGCCCACCTGCTCATCTCATAGAGGAAGCGGTCCGCTCGGGCCATCCGCTCGATCTCGTGCTTGTGCTCCTCGAGGAGGTCAATGTCACTCTTCTCCGGGATGAACTTGAGGAGCTGCAAAGAGCAGGCGAAGGTCAGACGGGGAACTGGTGGGAAGCAGATGCGGCGGCACAGCGCTCAGACGCCGGTACACTGAGAGCGTTCAAT